CCAATGGAATGTCAACAAGAGTGATGTATGCTGTTTTTGGGCCCCTTCCACGTCCTATTCATGGTCTTTCCCCTTCCGACTTTGAAGGTCCCATGTTGAAGATGGTAGAGCTATAGATGGAAAGAACCTGGGTCCCTGAATTAAAGTATGAAGGAGAGCCAGCCACTGTTTCAGATATTCCCTTAGTGAGAAAAAAAATTTCCATTATGTTTAGGCCATTATACAATTTTTAGTTTGTTGCAGCAGCTATTCTTCCCTTAATTAATACACGCCTGTTGTCTCATGTCCCTGGGATGCCTATAACTCCATCCTGCTTCACTGGGGTAACTCTTGTTTATCCTTTAAGTTTCGTCTCTGGCAGCACATCCTCCAGAAAACCTTCTCTGAGAAACCTCCGACCCCTCAAGGAAGGGTTAGGTGTATCCAGCAGACACTGCACAGTTGTCTACCTTCTGTCTATCTGTTCTCCAGTTCTTCCTAATGAAATCCTAGTTTTTTTCAGGGCAGTAATAATATACCCAGTGAACAATACTCATTTCACAAGCCATCCTTGCAGCTAGCAGCAGTCATGTAAGAGGAAGTTGCTGGATGGAGATGTTAGAGAAGCTTTTTAAAAAAAGGAATAGATTGGGCTCATATCTGCCTTTTAACTTTTTTCTTTGTGCTTCCTTTCTTCCCACCTAAAGTCAGCTGCAATGCCCAGGAGTGGAGCACACATATCACAACCACAAGGATGATAGTCCTGTGCTAAGGCAGAGCAGAAAGAAAATTCCAGGTTCCTCAAGGCACCATGGAGCCACTAGATCAGCCCTATTCTGCCTACTTCTGGTTCTCCTGTAGTATGAAAAATAGAAACTCCTAATGCTTAAGTCCTGTATTGAGGTTTCTATTTGCACGAATGAAAGTAGTTTGACCTGAATGCGTGCCCCGCTCCATGCTCTGGAGTGCCCTGCGCACCTCTCCGCTGCTTCCATCAGAACAGTCACACTCTGGCAAACATCGGCTTAAGTGTCTGTTCTCCTGACTTGTTCGAAGGCACAGAGTAAGCACTCAATAAATGTGTGCTGAGAGAATAGTAACAAGGGACACTGCTGTGTCATCCTCATCCTCTTTCTGAGGAAAGAAAAAGGTATCCCTGGAGGATACAGAGAAAAGGCCTTCAGCCAGTGAGTGGCCTTCCTGCCCCCAAGCTCCTCTGTCGGTGGAGCATTGCTCTGTGACATCTGAAGTCTTTTCAAGTTCTTGCATTCTCTGGTTCCACCTCACATCCAGTACACTCTCCACATCAAGGAGAGTACAAAATATAAGACGCAGCCTTGGCCTAGTGTGTATGTAGCACTTCTTAATCCCAGCATTGTGTGTGTGTGTGTGTGTGTGTGTCTACTTGTTCTTAAGTGAGGTGAAAGTCACATAAAATTGACCATTTTTAAGTGAACAATTCAGTGGCACTCAGTACATTCACAACTACTTCTATGTAGTTCCAAACATCTTTATCACTCCAAAATAAAACCTGGCACCTGTTAAGTAGCCATTTCCCATTCTCCCCTCCCCTCAGATCCTGAAGATCACCAATTTATGTTCTGTGTCTCAGGATTTACATATTCTGGATATTTCATATAAATGGAATGACACAATGGACCAACAAAGGCAGATAGAGCCTTAGTGTCCACACATTAGAATGACATTCAGCCTTTCTTTATCCAGAGTAAGGTCAAGGATTCCCATCGCAGCTTGAGCAGCGAGGTCAAATGTCTTTGCAATCCAGCTCCTTGGAGATTTTTAAAATTAGGTCTGTGATGAGCCTGTCAACAATAGATTAGAGAACTTTTATGAAGTGAAGGGTGAACTGCGTGGAGGTGAACTGGCTGATCAGGGCCTGAGGGCTCTGTCTAGCAGCACTTTTGTGAGAAAACACAGCTAGATTTGATGTGTGATGTATGTGTGTGTGAGGGGATGTCTGTGTATAGACAGACATCCTGGAGCACATTCAAATTTCCTTTCATGCTTAAATAAATGTTACAGATCCCAAAGCTCTTTGACATCCAATGGCAGCTCTCAAAAAAATAAAAAAAAAAAAAGGCAGGACAAGCACTCTTAATCCCAATTTATAAATGGGGCAACTGAGGCTTCATTAGATAATTTGCCCAAGGTCATACAAAGAATGAGTGGCTGAGCACAGCACATTTCCCCTTCTTTGAGGTGTCCTGTATACCTTAAGACACTCAGTCATTGCTCAGGAGGAGTGAGGGGGTAAATGTGTTAGCAGGTTGTATTAGTTAAAAACAAAATGCCAAGTCACCACAGAACTTAAGCAACATAATGGCTTAAGCAACATAAATAATTATGTTCTGGAGGCTGGGAAGTCCAAGATCAAGGTGCCAGTTTGGTTCCTGAGAACTCTTCTTGGCTTGCAGATAGCCACTTTCTCTCTGTGTCCTCACATGGTGAAGAAAAAGAAAGAGCAAACTCTCTTATAAGGGCACTAATTCTATCATGAGGTCTCTACCTTCGTGACTTCACCTAACTATGATTACCTCCCCAAAGTCCCCATTTCCAAATACCATTACATTGGGAGTTAGGGCTTCAACATGTGAACTTGGGGGAACACAAACATTTGGTCTATAAATACAGAAGGACACCACAGCTGATTGGGACCATATCCTACAACTAGTGAGACAGCAGAATGTTCTTATCAAAAAGGACAATTCAACCTAACTCCCCCACAAAGAGGGGTAGGGAAGGAAGACAAAACTCAAAGAATATTAGGAAAAAAGTAGAGTTGTCAAATTCAGCAAATAAAAATATCAAATACCTATTTGATTTTGAATTTCAAATAAAAAATAAATTATTTCTTAGTATAAGTATGTCCCATGCTTAGTTTGGGATACACACACACACACACACACACACACACACACTTTACTTTTTTATTTGAAATTCAAATTAACTTAGTATCCTGTATTTTCTCTGGCAACCCTAAAAGAGAGGGGCCAAGAACTCTTAAGACAAGCCGATGGACTCTAGGAAGAACTACTGCAGGATGTCTGTACTAATGCTTCCTTTGTATATTTAACTTCTTAAAAATCCTTTTCAAAAACTACTAGCTTTGTGTGTCTGGGGGGGGTCACATATACATAACATACAATTTACCATTTGAACCATTTTTAAATGTACAGTTCAGCGACATTAAGTACATTAACACTGTTGTGCAACCATCACCACTACCAATCTCCAGAACTTTTTCATCATTCCTAAATGACATATCCAAGAAAATCAGAGCTGGACAGTAGTTATAGCCACGAAAACAGATTTTATTCAGAACTTTGCAACAGGGGAAAAGAGACCTCAGTACAGAACTGGGGTCAATTCTGAGTACAGCATGGACAAGTGGGGATTTATAGCCAAGAAGCAGGGGGTCATGGTCCTGAATGGAAAATACTAATGGTGGGGCAATTCTTTGCTAAACTTAATATAGGAAAGAGGCATGAGAATTACAAAGATTGACTAGATGTTAAACCAAGTAGAATTCAGAGCCTGCTATGTGTTGTTACACATGGGACCTAGTTGATCAGCCCTACAGGGCAGACCACAGGAACCTACAGAACAAAGGAAGATTTCTGCAGAGATTACTAACAACTGTTTACCCATACCATAACAGGAAAACAACAACTTTAAGCTGTGCCTCTTACAAATTAAAGATAAACTCAATCATTCGTTCCATTCTTTACTCCCTATAATCGGTAATTTTTCTTGGAAACTAAATGACACATATAAACCCAGCTCTTTAGATGCTCAGGGTCTCTCTCATTCTCTGACTCTGAGAAGAGACCACACTCTGTCTTTGCAGCCTTATTCCTTCTCTAATAAACTTTGTTGATAACTCTGACTCGCTCTTAACTACTCTATGCCAAGGACTCTCTCCACTCTGGAGGATTCACCCCATCCTGCATCCAACTGACCTGACAGGGATCTTGCTGAAGGTAGGCCAGGGCCACCACATATAACCTAGGGGATCTCGGGTCATGAGGAATTCAGTCAGATATGGGGGTGATCTGATTGATACAGAAAGTGGGAGATTCTGGCTAAACCCACAGATTCCCACTAAAATTCAGAGGTGCAAGTAGAGGCCTAGTTGGGAAGATTCAGAGGAGCCTCACTAAAGTGCGGGTTCTTGGTGACTAAAGTTTGGTCAAAGAGAAATTCTGTCAGAAACTGTACCCATTAACCACACATCCCCAACCCTCGGGCTACGGACTTGTACCAGTCTGTGGCCTGTTAGGAAGGCGGTTGCACAGAAACAGGTGAGCAGCAAGCAAGAGAGCAGAGCTTCATCTATATTTGCAGACACTCCTTAGTGCTAGCATCATCGCCTCAGCTCCACCTCAGATCATCAGGCATTAGATTCTCTTATGAGTGTGGGTTCCTGGTGCCAAAAAGATTGGGGACTGCTGCGATTAAACAATAATTCCCTGCCCCCACCAAGTTCCTTTTCTGTCCCCCTGGCTCTGTGAATTTGACTACTCTAGCTTCTTTATATAAGTGGAATAATGCAGTATTTTTCCTTGTCTCGCTGATATGTTTAATTTTTAAAGGTGGGGGAAACTATGTGAATTCTATGGGGAGAGGAGCCCACAGAAGATGAGAAAATAAGGTCTCACTAAAATACATTAAATCAGGTAAGTACGTAGGGCTGGAGGGGAGAGGCTATTCCCACACCTGTGTTGAGTGTCGTGCACGGGGTACACACAGGGCAAGGAAAGGAAGCTCTGGGCTGCAGACAGCCGAGGACCGGCCGGAAGGGAAGGCAGAGAGAGGACAGACGTGGGGGCGTGGGCCCGATGGCCTGGCGCTGGGAATACAAGAAACAGGTGCAGAGAGGTCCGCGGCATCTCTGGAGTGCGCGCTGGGGTCTGCGACTGGGTCGCGATCGGAGGCCAGAACTCGGGAGTCTGACGAGCGGCTCAGAAGAAGCGTACACAGTGGAAGACGGCGCCAGGACCCTGCGGCGCCTGGCGGAGCGGAAGCGCGACGGGAGGAGCAGACGCGGGGCGGGCGGGGCCGGCGCGGGGCGGCCGGAGCAGGCGCCGCACAGCACGGCAGGTGAGCAGCGGCAGGGCTGGTA